TCATTGCATTCTTATTCCTGTTGACTACCTTCAAGTCAACAATTCTTGCTGCTTGTTTATTTCTGCTTCCTGTCACAACAGCTACACTTAATTCTTATTTTTTTCCCTGTTGCCTTTTCAGCGAGAGCTCCCTCTGAAGCTCAGCTTACCCTCCTGTTTAAATATTCAATGTTTAAGAGAATCGTCAGTGTCAAGAACACAGAATGGTTATTATAAAGTAAAAAATGCTTTTTGTTATTTCTACCTTCATTTGTGTAAATAGATATGTACAGCAGTGGCCAAAATTGTGGAAACCTTTGGGGAAAAGTGTATTTTCTAACACTAGCTAATAACACCATTTATTTTTTTTTGCAGTAGTGCCATAAAATTATATATCAATGGAAAGATAATTTAATCAAGAATGTAATGCAATAACTTTTATGAAGGATTTGCTATTAGAATAGCAGTTACAGTATAAAGAAGAAAAGTGAAACACATAGAAAAAATGAGATATTCAAAAATGATCTCCATGTCAGTTAATACTTAGTTGGGTAACCTTTAGCATGAATTCTGGCCTTACAATGTCTTCCCATGGAGTGAACCAAGTCTCTGAGTTCTGCAGCTGTTACCATGTGAAACCAAGGTTGAATGATGGCTTCTATTAACTAGGTTTTATTGCTGGGTCACTTCTGACTAACAAGTTTTTTTAGTCAGCTCCATAGATTTTCCATTGGGTTAAGGGCTGGGCTATTCCCAGGCCATCCCAGAAGTAGAATAGGATTATCTTGAAACTCCCTCCCAAAAAAGTGGTGTTATTAGCCATCAAACCTCAAAAAGACACTTTTCCCAAAAGGTTTCCACAATTTTGGCCACTACTGTAACATAACAGAAACGGAAGATGATAGATAGTGTATATTTGGTGATCAAACATGCCTAATTGCATAATTCTAGGGGGTGGGGGAACAATTGAAGGTTTGATGATGGTCAGATGAAGACCCTAACCTGATATTTTTACCAATCTCTGCTTGGAAATATCAGACAAAATTAAATTACTATAATTAAAATTATTTAGGAGCATGAATATCTACGAAAGATGCAGAGAAGAGCAACAAAGATGATTAGGGGACTGGAGGTTAAAACATACGATGAACAATTGAGGGAACTAGATATGTCTAGTCTAGTGAAGAGAAGGACTAAGAGTGACATGATACCAGTCTTCCAATATTTGAGAGGCTGCCCCAAAGAAGAGGGGGACAACCTATTCTCCAAAGCACCTGAGGGCAGGTCAAGAAGCAATGGGTGAAAACTAATCAAGGAGAGAATAATCTAGAACTAAGGAGAAATATCCTGATAGTGAGAACAATTAATCAGTGGAACAACTTACCTCCAGAAGTTGTGGTTGCGTAGTGGGCTGGACTAGAAGATCTCCAAGGTCCCTTCCAATTCTGTTATGCTGTTAAGGCTTGATGATGACCTTAATCTGATATTTTTGCCCATCTGCTTAAATGTGACTTTGAATCCACTTTCATTTTCTTCCTTTGAATGGTAAAATGCTTCGCAATATCATCCTCTCTTTGTCTTCATCCTTAAGCAGATAATGACCTCATTGTGATCTAAGCTCTGTGGTCTTTTCTTTCTTTCTTTCTTTCTTTTTTTAAAAAAAACCTTCCCTTCCAGGTACTTGATTGTTTGTATACTATAGATCGTATTTCACCTGCAATTATGGACAACCACATCTTGATTTGTACGAACTCGCAGTCTGCAATTAAGCAATGGGATTGTCCTCCCCCCTCAGGATGACCTGCCCCAAACTCAACTCATTAGAAGCCATTTTGGTTAACCCTTCAGGCAGTCGTCATTTAGAAACCTCAAGGATTCCTACGGAATCGTGCACAGCCGTTCTAGAATTTGGTTGTTGTTTTAAAAAGTCGCATCGAAGTAAAATACGCTGGTTAATTAGTAGGTGAGTCAGAGGGCCTGTTGAAACGTTTGTGGAATTGTGAAGCAACTCTGGGTGATCTTGGGACAGGCCTTATTTTTATTTTATTTATTTATAAGTCATATTTCTATGCCGCCCACTCTTTGAGGACTCTGGGCGGCTTACACCAAAGACAGTATACTAAATAGCATATTGTCCCCTAACAATCCGGGTCCTCATTTTACCCGCCTCGGAAGGATGGAAGGCTGAGTCAATCTTGAACCGGTGAGATTTGATCCGCCGATCTGCCAGTCAGCTGAAGTAGCTGCAGTACTGCACTCTAGCCACTGCGCCACCTCGGCTCTTCTCTCAGCCCTACGAAGATGGAGGCGATAGCAACCCTAATTCTTAAAAAATATTGTCCAGGACTGAAAACTGACTTGGAGGCCTGGAATTTAAATGGAATTCTGGACACTTCCAAGGTTTTATAAAGTGGTACTATAAAGTATGGAATGCGGCATCCAGTATTGGTTACCACATTACAAAAAAAAGGTGTTGAGACTCTGGAAAAAGTGCAGAGAAGAGCAACAAAGATGATTAAAGGCCTGGAGACTAAAACATATGAAGAACGGTTGCAGGAACTGGGTATGTCTAGTTTAATGAAAAGAAGGACTAGGGGATATATGATAGCAGTGTTCCAGTATTCGAGGGGCTGCCATAAAGAAGAGGGAGTCAAGCTATTCTCCAAAGCCCCTGAGGGCAGGACAAGAAGCAATGGATGGAAGTTAATCAAGGAGAGATCCAACTTAGAACTAAGGAGTAATTTCCTGATAGAACAATGAATCAGTGAAACAACTTATCTCCAGAAGTTGTGGATGCTCCATCACTGGAGCTTTTCAAGAGACTCAATAGCTATTTATCCTGAATGGTACTTAGAAAAGGATGCAAACGTCCAGCTGTCTGCAAGGAATATAAATCTATCCTCCACCTTTCAGTCAGAACTGAAGAAGCTTCTTGGATGAGAAGCGAAACGTCTTCAAAAGAAAAAAACAAGAAAAGTCCAGTTGCCTCCTGAAAAAGCACCTTTGGGACAACCAGGACCTGGAGGACCGAGAATTTATTTCTACAGACTTAGAAATAAAGTTGATGCAGTGAGATTCTCAGAAACCTACCAGGGTCATCCAGTTGACATCCAAAGTGAAATATTTTTTGTTAGAACAATTCACAAAAGGACACAGGATTAATACAGTGTGATGTGTTTGGTCCAAAGAAACTTTCACATTTTTTCCCCCTTCAAAATTCCAGTTTTCATCCCAGATAGCAAACTATGTTGCCTTCTGCATCCCACACATGTGTTTTTATTCAAGCTGTAAGACGAGGAAAATTTTCCTCACAGCCTCTGAGCAGGAAAGTGTTTGAACTACACAACTTTGGCTTGTCATTGGAAATTTTGATTTCTGCCTTGTGGATCTTTACGCTTCCTTAAATGTGCCACTCTGGAGTCAGTGGTTTCCACTGACAATAGAGTAAATTCACCAAAGAAATCACACTTTATGTCATGGAAGGATGGAAAGAGAGATATTTTCGTATCCATCCGAGCAATTGTCGAATGCCAGTTTATTCAGGACTGTTACCAGTGAATTGATTTGTGCACAACATCTTTTATTTTTTTAGCTGTTGCAGACTAATAAGAAAAATCCTGGTCATTGGAACTCTTGGGAATATCTTTCTGAAAAACACGTTTAAGGAAGTGAAAACCAGGTTTTGAGGATACCCAATTATAGAAATATCTATGAGGGTGAAGATTCGTTCTCCAAACTTAGATACAGATATAGATGAACAGAATTGGACGGGACCTTGTAGGTCATCTAGTCCAACCCCCCGCCCAAACAGGACACCCTACACCATTTCTGACAGCTTGTGGGTTGTTTTCCAAATGTTTCATTACCAGGCTAGGTAACACCTTCAGCGGAGCTTAGGGGATGTCAGTGTCCTCTGTTGATAAGAGTTTCAGGTGTGGGTGTGTCACGTGAGGGTCTTATGATGGGTCAGGTGTGAGTCATCAGTGAGAGTCTCGTGATGGGTCTTACATCAGGTCAGGTTCATTGGGAGGCAGACTGCTGGTGGGGGTTTCATGGGTTGGTTGAGGGTTGGTGCCGTCTCTGGTTGGCTGTGTGGTTGATTTGGATTCTGAAGGGTTCATAAGCTGGTTGTAGGTCAGTATGTAGAAGTGTAGAAATATCTATTTTCTAGCTCAACAGTAGCAATCGTGTCTGTGGAGGTTCTCAATCATTCGTGGTTGTCCCAAGGGTGCTTTTCAAAAGGTAACTAGACTGACAACAATAATCAGACCAGGCACTTGATGGGCTCCATATCTCTTTGAGGTCCCCAGCCCATTGGCAGAACCATGTCTTCAGGGCCTCGAGAAAGAGTGTCAAAGTGGGGGACAGTCTAATCTCCACTAGGGTGATGTTCCACAGCAAGGGAACCACTACAGAGAAGGCCCTTCTTTGTCCCACCAGATGGACCGCTTTAAGAGAGGAGATCCATAACATTCCCTGCCTCCCTGCTCAGGTGGGTCAGGTAGATACGACTGGGAAAAACACGCTCCTTCAAAACAGGGGAATGAAGCTCTCCAACTTCTTTTGTGGGTTAGGTAGATTTGACTGGGAAAAAATGTTCTTCAAAGGATGATGAAGTTTTTCAACCTTCTGTTTTGTAGGTCAAGTAGATATGACTAGGAAAATATGTCCTTCAAAGGATGATGAAGTTCTCCAACCTCATGTTTTATGGGTCAGGTAGATATGACTAGGAAAACATGTCCTTCAAAGGCTGATGAAGGTTCTCCAACCTCATGTTTTGTGGATCAGGTAGATATGACTAGGAAAACATGTCCTTCAAAGGCTGATGAAGTTCTCCAACCTCTGTTTTGTGGATCAGGTAGATATGACTAGGAAAACATGTCCTTCAAATCAGTGGTGAAGTTCTCCAACCTCCTCTTTTGTTCCTATAGGGTGAGACATGCCCTATACTTGGACACTGATATTTTCAGCAATCCGCTGTTGGGTTTCTTAATTGTCCTCCTTTTTTTCCCCCCTTCTAGCTTTCAAAGACCTTGCAGGAGAAAGGCTGGCGAGTGGGAGACCTTTTCCAGGCAGTTCTGAAATACTGCGAAGCCATGGAGAAGTCGGGGACTGATGGGGATAGAACCCTGGAAAGCAGAACCCTCTTTGGGTGGCTTCAGGAGAACATCTGAATGGCCCGGAAAAGTTTTTCCTTGAATTCAACTCTTGAATCTTCCTGGGGAAAAACGAAAAAGAGAGAGAGAATGTGTGCTAACTAGCAAATGTAACATAATTTGCGTTGTGAGGAGCATTAAGCAGGAAGTCAATATTAAGCGTACTGTACTGTCAAGTGGCTTTGTGAAATTTTGTGTGCTTTTAAACCCATGTTTGTTTGTGTGTGTGTGATCTGAATGAGGGTCTCCACTTGTTCTGTCCTCATCGGTTTGCAACTCTCTTCTGTCGCAGCGATGAGAGTATCTTTCTATCTTTGAGTGAGGATTCCTGCCTAACTAGGACAAGGAATGACGTATCATCTCAGTCTAGGTTCATGTTTGTGTCTCTGCAATTTTGTCATTGCAATTTTTCCTTGCCTCTTTCCTTGCAACGAGCTGCAGGTCAAAAATTGGGGTTCAGTGAGTCCAGTGATGGTCAGCTGCTGCTTTTTTTTTTTTTTTTTCCTCTGAGGGCCTCGGGCCCTACAGATTTGTCCACTCATTTCTTTGCTGCTTCTAATGACTTCAACCAGTGATGAAGCTGAGGACCAAATGAGATCAAAATTGGGGTAAAGGAAAGGATCAGGATCAAAGTGTAGAAGTTATTCCTTGCCCCAATCAAAAAAACACAAGTATTCTTCATTTCCAAACGAAGGTTGGAAATCTCAATAAAGGCCGTAATTGAAGGCCGTAATTCTCAATATCGAGAACATGGATTGTAGATTTATGTTCTTCATCACTTTTAACACGTCAAAATATTAGATACCAAAATATTACCCTCCCTCCAGAATACATTTTTTTCATCCATTCTGTAAAATACTCTCTTCATAAAACAAATAGCCACAGAGAAAAGAACAGAGTAGGCCAGTAGCCAAAAGGTTGAGTCCTCCAGTCCTTGTGCATCTGGTTTATATGATGATGTCAGGAAACACATTTAATGTTGTTTCTTCAAAACATTGTCCCCAAACCAATGTTGTATGTTTATAGGCCTTTTTTCTTTCTTTATGCAACTGCATTCTGTTAAATTGAGAATGCAGTAGATAAGAATCATTGGCATAAAATAGTGATTATCAGCCTTGGCCACTTGAAGATGGCGTGGACTTCAACTCACAGCATAGCTGGCTGGGGAATTCTGGGAGTTGAAGTCCACGCATCTTCAAGTGGTTAAGGTTGAAACCCCTGGCATAAGACATAATCTGCATTACATAATCGCTTCCAAGAAATGATCACAGATCCAGGAGATTCCTCCCTCTTGTAAAATGGATCACGCTGAACTAGTTTATACTGGAGGGAGTAGAAAAGAGGAAGGTACGTCTTCCTGAGGCCATATCACTGCATCATTCATGGAGGGGAAACCAACATTTCAAGCTTGAGAACATTGCTGTGGAGTTATTGATGTTCTCTGGAAAATAGGCAATTTCTCCATCGGCTTCTAGTAAAGGTGAAAATGAGGCTGGGATGGGACAACTCGCCACAGCCAATTTGCTATGGCCAACTCGCCATGGCCAACATGCAACAGGACAAGTCAGCAATTCAATTTAATTATTTAAAATAATTTTAATTTTTGTCATTCACATTCAGTTTGTCTCTCCTTCGGCATCCTTTCTTCAATTATTCTATTCCACTATTTCTTCAATATTAATGTAACTCTTGTCCCGTGGCAAGCTGCTGTGGTGAGTTGGCCATGGTGAATTGTCGTAGACCCAAATGAGGATGCTGCAAAGAAACAGAAGCCCATGAGCTAAATAAATAAACTCTAGTCAACAGAGAAAAAGGGAGTAGCAGATAGAAGGTATCTCTGAAGATTAAGGAGATCTTCCGGGATTCTTCACAGTGTTGCAAAGAAGGAATCCATACAGATTCCAGAGGCAGAAAGAGGTTGAATAGTGTGCCCTAATCCAGCCTTAACAGAAGGCTCGAAAGTTGATGGTTGAAGTAGTGAGACCATTATGAGTTGTGGTCAACAGGCCTGGAATGGCTTGGTTCTGCTTTTCTTACTTGACTACTACGGAATGTGGAATTTACCTGTCCTTCCAGGAATATCAAAATACATCTCTGAATGCTGTTGTTTGCGATATACGTTTCAGATTTCCTCTGTACAGACAGCTGTCTTGTTTAGGAATTGTATCATATTCTGAATTGCTCTTAGGTGTGTTTGAGTGTGCGCCTGTGTGAGTGCAATGGATGAAAGTCAACGTGAAGATGTTCCACTGTAATGATGACAGGTGGTGGTTAGAAAATGGACGCAATTAGATAATCGAGATGTGAATTTCAAGTTGCACTAAAGTTGTTGTTTTAAGAGTAACCTTAAAATAAATTGTATATAAGCAGACATCGGTGTGGTTTAAAATTTGTCTCTTCAAAGAAGGGAAGCCTCAAGAGAGAGGCTTCTTAGAGGGGAATTCCTGCCGTTTCCTAAACTATTGCAAAATAATTTGAGAAGGCTGCAGATGTAAGTCAATGAAATGTAAGTATTAAGTTGAAGTATTTCTATAATGTTCCTTAACAGTTTTGACCTGGTGTTATGAATTCTTGCTTTTAAGTAGTCTTGTAATCATGCCATGCAAAATTTAGATATTCCAAATATTTAGTCTGTCTTTCTGCATATCTGTCTCTCTCTCTCTCTTATCTATATCTATCTAATCTACTCTATCTACCTATCTATCATCTCTGTCTCATCTTTTCCCCATCTATCTATCTCTATTATCTACCTCTCTCTCTCTCATCTCTCTCTCATCTCTACCTCTCATCTCTGTCTTTCTCTAACTATATATCCATCCATCATATCTCTCTCTCTCATCTCTCTCTCATTTGTCTATCTCTATTATCTCTGTTATCTACCCATCTCTCTCATCTCTTGCCTGCCTGCCTGCCTGCCTATTTCTCTATCTCTATCCATCCATCCATCCATCCATCCATCCATCCATCCATCCATCCAGTCCTATTTATACCACTGCATTTGTGAGATTCTTTCAACAAATTACAATAACTAAGAGCAAAACAATTTTTAACAGAAGAGATCCAAGGTAGGATTAAAACCACTAAAATTGGAACAAGAAGTATCAAGAAACATCTAATTTTTGGGTAGGCTAAGGGCAAATGCTGTTGCTATCGTGAAAATGTAAACTATTAACAGACAAAAGAAAGCAATAAAAAGATCTCAAAAACCAATGGCAAATATTGTTCTCTAGAGGAAGAGAGATCACTTCCCATGTGTCCCAGGTCTCTAGAGAAGATCCTTTTTTCTGATCAAGTATTCATTTAAATCTTAGGATTCAAGTCAGCTTCTTAAAACAAATTCTTTGAAAAGACAGATTTTAGGGTTGGGATTCTGACTAAAGTTTTATTCCTATAAGGGGAAAAGAAAATATTAATGAGCCAATAAACTGAGATATTCTGCTTTTCTACACGTTTCTAAGGTTTTATATCCCAAATAAATATTGTTGAATTCCTTCCCACCCTTTTCGTAAAAATCTGGCTGGCCCTACTTCTCAAAGTCTTCAGTTAATGAAGATGTGTTTGCTCAGAGCAAGATCAATAATCAAGTGTCTATTTCTGGATTCAGATCAAGGACACTTGTCTTAATAAGCACGAAGCACAGTAACTGCTTGCCTGGATCTCAGCCCAGTCCTGTAAAATTCAACCTCCTCTTTCTAAGAGTCAGCCAGAACCTCTCGAGAAGGTTAAAAATCTACACTCTTTCATCCAAGTTATCTGACAGGATAGTAAGAAAGAAAAAGCTGCTTTTTCAGAGTCCAGGATGTTTTTCTGATATCTCTCTGACAGAGAGCAAGGATGGTATATAAAGGAAAGTTAGAAAAATTTAAATGTCAGTGAACAAATGCCATGTGAAATCATATTTGGAAATTATTTTTGCTGGAATTCTTGTAGATGGAGTAGAAAACAGTAATATATACTTCTTTTGCCTCAACTGAATCTAGTCAGGTTGAAAATAATGAAGGCCTTCGTGATTTGCATGTTTAGGTTTTACAGACCACTGCGTGTGTAAAATCAAGGTAGAAGGTTTTTAAAGTCGATTTGCATAGTAAGCAGTGGCTTATAAATTTAATTAATGAATGGATAGATAGCTAGATGGATGATAGATGAATGATAGATAGATAGATAGATAGATAGATAGATAGACAGACAGACAGACAGACAGACAGACAGACAGACAGACAGACACAGACAGACAGACATTGATGGATGGATATGTTAGATCAGATGGATGGATGGATGGATGGATGGATGGATGGATGGATAGATAGATAGATAGATAGATAGATAGATAGATATGGATGGATATGATAGATGAGACACAGACAGACAGACAGATAGATAGATATTGATAGATGGATATGATAGATGAGACAGACAGACTGACTGACTGACTGAATGAATGAATATAGATGGGTTGATGGATGGATGAATTGATGGATGGATAGACAGATCAATAGATAATGTGGATGGATGGATGATCGATATATAGGTATAGATGATAGATAGAATATGGGTGGTTGGGTGAAAGGATAGATAAAAAGATTGATTGATAATGTGGAGGGATGGATATGGAGGGAGGGTGGATAGATGGTTAGATGACAGATAGATGATAGATAGGTGGATAGATAGATAGATAGATAGATAGATAGATAGATAGATAGATAGATAGATAGACAGACTGACTGTTTAGGAGGTAGTCCTCTCCAAAAAGTTAATTTGAAAAATAATATGATTGGAATTGTATCTGTCCCTTAGGCTGGTGATCAACTTTGTAACAGGACATTCTCAAAAAAATATAGGGGTGGGAAAACAGTTGGGGGGTCTTCTGAAAGAACCATTAAGGACCTTCCTCATCTTTGCTCCAGTATTTATCAGTGGAACTCCTGGGGGAGCCATCTCAAGTGAAAAACATAAAGCATAAAGAAAAACATGGAGCGTGGTCCATGCGTACATGTCATCTGTAGTATACAATATGTTGTGTTCTTCCTATCACTGTTGCTTGAAATTGAAGATCAAAACTGCTAGCAACACAGTTTTTTTAAAAAAATGATTTAACAAAAATAGGAATTCAGGTTCCTGGTTCCCATGGTGTCTCCCAAGTCTTTTTTTCCCTCCTTGGGTCTACGTTCCACGAGGAGCAGCTGTTGGAGCTGAAGCATGCTCCATCACTTTTCTCCAGTCTTGGAGGAACATCACAACAGGATGTGCAACCAGATGCTTTTTGTCTCACTGAAAAGTTTTTGTCAGGCCGTTTGTGGGGGCCGCTCCGCTAGATTAGCAAAGTTCTATCTAGTTTAGATAAATGCAAATATCTTTACGTTTATTGCGGTCGATCATAGTTTCACTGCCATGAGAACAAAAATAGACAAGAAGTTGAATGAAGTGGTGAGAACTGTGAGTAGGCTGGAACGTCTTTTTGGGGCCGAGTTCAATGTTCTTACTGCAGTTTAGTTAGTTTTTTTTTAATCTACACGCTAGTAAAATTTTGCATTGGGAGGACCGTTATCTGGACAAAACGGTGCATCACAGGGCAACAGTTTTAAAACCAAGTTATCTCAAGTGGCCTAAGAGAATGTGTCCAAAATCCTGGGTTTGTGAACCCAAGAGAATAAAATTTAGGGAAATTGCGGCTGCTTCAGTGCTATTGGCTGCTGCTGTTGCATAGAAAGCTTCGTTTTCAATGTTCTGTGACAGTTTCCCAGCCACTTTCACAATCCCTTGCGTCCTGCTCCACCAGTGGCAGTCACTCACCTGCTTGCTAGGAAGGGAAGGGAAGAAGGAAGAGGGAGGGAGGGAAGGAAGGAAGGAAGGAAGGGGGAGGGAGGGAGGGAGAGAGGAAAGGAAGGAAGGAGAACTGGGAAGGGAACTGGGAAGGAGAGATGAAGGAAGGAAGGAAAGAAGGAAGAGAAGAAAGGAAAGACGAAAGAAAGAAAGGATAGGATAGGAAAGGAAAGGAAAAGAAAGAAGAGAAAGAAAGAAAGAAAGAAAAAGAAAGAAAGAAAGAAAGAAAGAAATTGAAGGATAGATTTGATTGATTAATTTCTGGAACTCCCTGCCAGCTTCCTCACCATTTTTACTTTACTCAAACGATACAAAATACAAAAGAAAAAAAATTAAAGAGACAAAACAAAAATAGACCAAAACATTTTTTAAAAAAAGTGAGTTAAAAGAGAAAACCCACCCACATATTATTGCTCCTGGTTGAATACTGACAATTCTATTGCAACACTGATAGCTTCTCCGATCTTTGCAAAGCAGGTCCAAAATTTAAAATAAACTTCTACAGAAAAAGGACCTTACCTTCTCTACCGTTTTGCGGTTAAGCAGCCCAAATTTTTTCAAGTTTCCATTTGAGCCTTGAAAAAGAAGCGGTAGCTGTGTTAAAACAGGGAAGGAACTTCAATGAGTTAGTAGCACTTTTCTTTTTTTTTTTTCCAGGCTCACAGGACGGTCCAGAAAAGGGACGGTGGCTTTAATAAACATTTGAAAGATTGCTGCATTTATATTTGTACAAGATCTGGAGCTGATCTAAATCCTTCGAGAAATCAAAAGCTGATAATTGCCACCTATGCAAAAGATTGCTTGATTTGAGCCCTAGAATATTTTCGGAATATTTTCTAACATGGAACTTGTTTTATCAATGGCTTGATAATAGAGGTAGAGATTAGAAATTGGATAAATATTATTATTATGTGTATGCAAATTGGCCCAGACAATACACTGTCCACAAAGCACTTATGCATGTAAAAGAAAAATGTATAAATCAACTAAAAAAAGAAAAAAAGATTTGCGGAATGAAGTTGCGATTAAATTGCCTCCTTCACTTGGGCCCAAATGCTGAATCAGTTTCAATTAAAATGTCTTACGGTTAATTTTCCGTGGAGATTTTTCCTTTCTTTCCTTCTTTCTTTTCTCTTTTTTTTTTCTCCGTCTGCCCTTCCAAACCATGATGGGCCATCCCTTGAGGATTTCCTACAGTAATGACTTGGCCAGCCAAAGTTTTTCAATATTTTTTAGGTTCTTGAAATGAGCGAGAGAGGCACGAGTGGCTCTGTGGTTCACCAAAGCAGCTGCAGGATTCGCCCATTGATCACCAAAAGACACCAACGCAGCTGCGTTTTGTCTAAGAAGCATCTGAAACAAGTTACCATCCAGATGTTCGGAGCCAGAATTGAGGCTGGTGGGAATTAAGTAAAATCACAAAAGTACCCAACACCTCTGCTTTATTCTATGACATAAACATAACTGTTAGGACCCATGGCACAGTCAGCCAGATGTTCTGTTCTGTCCCAGCTATGGACCCCAAAACGCAGCACACACAAAGTCCGTTCA